TGAAATATCTATTGGTTCTGACTCTTCTTCAGAAAAAGAGCTTGATGAGTTTATTGATAGATTTTCTGGTGATGATTTAACTGAATAAAATACATTTTCATCACTATCATCTGATTGAACAATATCACTAGATGTTATGACACCTAACTTATTTACTGGGGTTTGTCTTGTTGATCCAATTTTTGGGGTAAAGGTAGCTGATGGTTCTTTACTTACTGGTTTAATTGTAGCATATAAACTATCTTCAATTTGTTCATCAGTAGCATTTTTAGGTAAATTTAAACGAACAACGAGATTTCTACTATGTAAGAAATGGATCAAGGCATCAATACAATTTAAGGAGATTTCTTTTGCAGTATCACAAAGATTTTGGAAGAATCCTTTTGTTGTAATTTCTTTTGGAGCTGTTTCTGCAACTTCAACAAAATCGTTATCATGGAAATCACTCAACCTATCTTTTTTTCTTAATTCTCTTAACTCATCTAATCTTTTCATACGAAGAACTTTTTCATTGTATTTTTTATCTAATTCAATCATTATTTTATCTCTATCTAAATCAATCAACTCTTTTAATTTTACAAAGATATTTGCTCGTTCTTTTTCAATATTATCTTCTAATTTTCTGAATGTTTCTGGGATTTGTCTAAATACTGCACTCCTAATTAACATAACAAATAATATAACTACATTAAAAATAAATGGTTCTCCTGCATGCATATATAGTCCAAATGTTTCAAAGATTTGCAATGCTAAATTAATTCCTTGTGTTTTTTTGGTTTCTTCATCATCTCTAAAGTAAGTAAGAAGAGAAGATAATACAAAAATATTTTGTACAATTAGAATAAAGAAATTTAAAACTTGTAGTATCTTCCATTGAATTCTTTCTCTAAGAAATTTACCTTTAAAAACAATATACATTGTCATTCCAACATAAATATATGATATAACGTCTTTACGATTAACAGCAAGTAACATAATAACAATTCCACAAATAAGATTTAAATATTTTAATAAAACACGATGTACCCCATCAAAAATATTTCGAGATTCTTCAGGGAAATATGGTGGTGAAATAAATTTATATATTTCATGAATATGTCCTTCTCTAAAATGGAATGATATACGATTAATGAGAAATATAAATAAACAATCAAATACCTTTACTACTAATAATTTTTTACCTTGTTCAACTGGCATTAATAATGTATATTTTCTTAAAGAATAATCAATATCCCAATCCCATTTCTTCCAAATTTCCCATTGAGTGTCTAATGGTTCTAATGGAATTGTCCAAATTGAGTTAATGATAACAAGTGTTAATAAAATAAATTCTACAACTGGAATCATTTTAGTAAGAATTTTATGTGGACAAATAACTGCGACTAAAGAAATAATAATATAAAGAAGTGCCATAAAATCATTAGCATGTAAACAAATACAAACTACTAATACAAAGAGAATATAAAGTGGTCCAAAATAACTAAAGAAATTTGAAATATAATATTTTACCTTATTCCATGAATATTTTTTTAAATCATATTCCAAATCAATATATCTAAATAACATTAATCTTTCTTTCTTTTTATATACTCTTCCCCAGAAAAATGAAGTCCTTGTTACAATGATTAGGAAGAAAATAACAAGAAAATCTTTTATCAAATCCCAACAATATGGATATTTCAATTCATCATATGAAACACATTTAGGTGCTGTTAAAACATCATCAAAACATGTTTTAATTCCAATAAGACTATAAATCCATACTTTTGTTTGAGTTGATCCAAAAACGTTGTATTGGTCTATTAATTGATTAATTGTTCTGAAATTTGGAACAATTAATATAATCATACTAATAGTACAGACCCATAACAACGGAGCACATGCCGCATTAAATCCTTTCTTAGAAAGAAGACAAACCATAGTTGTTATAAACAATAAAAAGTGTAAACAATCCCATGTTTGTTGTTCAAATGTAGAATCTACAATTGGATATGCAGCTATAATAATAGCACAAATAACTGATATATGTGGAATATAAATTGCTAAAAATCTCATAATTAAATCAGATAATTCACGAATAAACTTAGGAATACATTGACTATTTTCTTCATTATCTAAATATATGTTTTGATTATTTGGTTTATCTTTCTTAGATTTAATAATTTTATTTCCTTCTTGACTTGTAGAAATTAATTCAACTTTAGCTAAATTCTTTTCTTCATTAGTTTCTTCTTCTAAACGTGTTTCTTGTTCAAACCGATTGAATGAATGTTGAAGTGTTTCTCTGTCAAAGTGTTGAACCCCTCTCTTTTTTTTTAATTTAGCAAGATACCCATCTTCAACTTCTTTTAAATAACGAGGAACAATAATTAATAAACGACTTTCAATAGCGCAAACTGCAATAACAAGAATATTTGGTAAAAATCCTTTTACACGTTCCCATAATGAAGTATATTTTAAACAACCAACTTCTACTTGACTCATTCCAGTAAAGATATCCCAAAAATTATTAATATAAATTTCATTATTGTTTGAATAAACTGAATCAGGTCTAAATTGAGAGACATAACGAACAAGAAGAACAATAAAGAATATGAATGAGTAAATAGGTAGAATGAATTGTATTACTACTTTAGAATAAACAAAATGAGTTTGTAAAAGAACAAGAATTGCTAACGCAATAATATATAAAATTAATTCAATATTAATGTCTTCATATAAAGCAGCAATTGCAATAACTACACAACAAATAAATAATCCCCAGAAGTCAATAAATTTTGCACAAGAATATTTGAATACTTCTATTTTACTATCATCATGAATTACTTTAACTCCAATTTTATTTGCATAGTATTCAAGAAATGAAACAAATAATAAAATAATCTTTGATATTAATTCCCCAAGATGTGTATCATTCCATTTAATATCTACAGAAAGTGTTGTTTGATCATTAAATTTATATAATCCAATATATGATGGAAGTGATGATACATCAATATAATCTAATTGAACAATCATTTCCATTAATACGATTAATAATGTATAAATAATAACAATTGGCCATAATTTTTGACAATAATTAACTGGAATAAATATAAGTGAAATAGAAATAACTAAAAATGAAAATCCAAAGATACTAATATTTACAAGACCTACACAAAACATGACAATAATTGAAATAAATACACCTCCTTTTACAATTATTTGTAAACAAACTGCAAGACATGTAATAATAAGTTTATATATTTGTTTTAATCCTTCTTTAATTATTTTATTTTTTGATTTCTTTTCTTCAATGAATTGCTCTTCTTCTGAATTATCTTCTGTTTTTGAAGTAAATTCTGTTATTCCTGTTTGTGGAGAACTTTCTGAATTATTTTCTGTTTCTTTTTCATTAAATGTAATTTTAATACAAAGACATATTAGTGGAAACATTAAATAAGCAACATAATTCATACCAAAGAAAACCCATGAAGGATATCTGACAATAGAAAATCCAACAGTAGACATAGCTTTTTGTAATATATCTAATTCAGTTGTTTGAAAGAAATTATATTCATTAGAAACAAATGAAAAGATATTCCATAATGATAATATAATTAAATAAATAAACATTATAAAAGCAAGTGAAACTGAAAGAAATTTAAATAATAGTCTTGGTGAAATAATTAAAACAATTGAAGCTAAGAAGAATAAAATTGGGATTATTCCTCCTTGAGATGAATTAACAACAAAGGCAGAAATGAAAAAGAATAAAGCAGTAAGAGTTGGAACTAAAGCTGTATGACGAATATTAATTTTTTCTGAACGTGAAAAAATTCCAAAAAAAGAAATAATTCCAATCACCCCAACAAAAATTGTATGAAGAATATAAAATTCTTGTTTTTGATTTTTAAACATTAGTCCACATAACATAAGTCCCCAATGTTCTTCAATATCAACAAAATAAAATGTAATTAATATAATAAAATGAACAAATGAATACAACATAATTAATAATGACCATACCCTTAAAATATGTGTTTCTGTAAATATTCCACTAAATGAAACTATTAAAAATTCTAATAAATATGGTATTGATAATAAACCTGGTTCTGTCATATAAGGAAATGGTAGTAGAGTTATTAACATTAAAAACACTAATTGTTGGATATATGGAACCATATTCCATAATTTAAATGGAAAACACACTACCTTTTTGAAAGACATTTTTTGTATTTAGAGTTTACATTTAATTCTTCATTCATTATTTTTTTATCGTTTTTTTTTCCAAGTCATCTTCTATTTTTACAACAAATGAAAAGGTAAGAGAAAAAAAAAAGAATAATTTAGTTTAATTAAATATATATGTACTATTCATCGTTACTCAATCTCATCAAAAATAATATCCACATCACTATCAGAATCTTCTGAATTATCAGAACTTGACAAATCTTCGTTTTCTCCTGTCTCATCAAATTCACTAGACTCAAAATCATAAGAATCAACAAATATTCTCTTCTTTTCTAAAATCGGTAAGTCATTAAAAGGTATTTTTTCTTCTTCAATAACAATTCGTAAAATTGAGGTAGTTACTAAGTTGTTGAGTGGTAGGTCTTGTTCCATTTCTTTCCAAAAAATACTTTTTAAAGTAGTCATTTCAATAACTTCATTTATATTAACATGTTTTACTTTAAAGAAACGAATAAATTCTAATTTCAAATTATTGATATGTTGAAATTCACCATCATAAATAGCCAATCTTTTTAATTGAGTTAATAAGTTAATAGATAATTCTGTATTTATTTTGAATAAAGTAAGTGATGTTAGACATTGCATATTTTGTAAAACATTAAAATTAAGGAGAAGAGAAACATTTTTAAAAGCTATATGATTAAATGTAACTTCATATTCATCAAATAATTTCAAGTTTGAACAATCAAAAGTATTAGTTTGAACACCACAATATTGATAACAATGAGGAAAAAGAGTTGAAATGATTAGTGCTTGTAAAGTAATTTTATTAGAAAGAATGAAAATGGCAAAAGGTTTAATAGAGCTATGTGAGTTATTTTTAAGTTCATTTTTAATTTGACTAATTAAAGATGGTGGGATATGACCAAGTTCTCTATCCAAATATACTTCAGAGTCAATATAAAATTTGTTTCCTAAATTTGAGAAACGAATAGACTCACTATTAATACCAAAAAATCCATTAAATTTAATAGTATTAAAAGAAGAATTAGTAAGTTGGGTAATTTCAGAATCATTATTAACATCAGTTCCAGTAAGATCAAGAGTATTTATTTGAGTAAGTGTAGTAATGTTATAAATACTTGATATTTCATCAAAATTTCCACGAAGAACAAGTGTTTTTAAATTTTTAGATTGAGTAAAACAGTTAATTGTTTCATTAAAATATTGAGTATCATTAACAAAAACATTATATTCTTGTAATTTTGGTAATGTACAATGTTCTTTACAATATGAAAATATTTTTAATTGAGTTAATCGAGTTAGTTGACTTAAATTTTGTACTTCATAAGATTTAGAATAATATCTATATTGAGATAAATCTTTTGTAATTTTTAAACTTTTTAAATATGGTTGATTTGTTACAATACAATTAATATATTTAATACTGTTTTCTTCACTAACTTGATTTAAAAAACAAAAATTTAATTTCGTAAGTTTAACACATTGAAGAATATTATTAAGTGAATAATAATCAATACAATTTAAATTACTAAACTCTAATTCTCTTAAATTTGAAAGAAATGTTAATTGTGGAATTTTATCAATAATAAAATTAAGTGAAAAATAAAACACTTTTTTTACTGTTGGAAATTCTTTTAAGTATTTTAACAAATCATGACGAACAAGTAACTGATCAATACTTTCTACACATCTCTTAACCTCTTTGGAAACTTGAATTAATAACCTTAAATGAGTAATTCCAAGGTAATGGAAAATTTGGTGATATTCTAATGAATTAAGATGTGAACAATAGGGTTTTGTCATATAAATGAAAACAGTTCTTTTCTAAAAACGAAAAAAAAAATGAAAAACAATCTTTTATTTTTTGAATGATTTTATGTTTTTCTCTTTTTGATGAAAAGGGTTTTTTTTAAAAGAAGAAATTCAAAGAGAGAAGTCAATTTGTTTATCTTTTCATTAATGTCAACACCTAATGATCGTTCTGCAGTTCGTAAAGAATTACGTGAAATTATGCAAGAAATTCAAGCCAAACATGAATTATTATCAAACCCAGATAATGATGAAATTATAAATTTTGTTGATAAAGCAGGTAAAATATTTGATAAAATCGATCACCCTCGTGAGGCAGCACTTGATGCGGAATGTTTTACTATCACCTCAGGTGTTACATTAGAAAAATCACAAAGACTTAAAACAGGATTTAAAATGTATGATATTTCATCATTTATTACTCGATTTCGTGATTTGTATTCAGAGAATAATGATGTAACTGAAAACCAACTCATTAAATTTGGTAAAGAAGTATTATTAAGTGGTTGGAAAGTTGCACCATCTAATCCTCTTATTCATGGAGTTATTATTGAACGCAAAACTAGAGAAAGAAAAAAAATTATTAAATCGGATGTTGGAGAAGCAGTCAAACCAAAAACAGTTAATGCAGATGAATGGAGTGCAGCTAAAGAAACACCAGAACGAATTAAAATGGTTAAAGAATTATTAATAAAAAAAGGAGAAATGCCATTCTTTCAATTTGTTTTGAATGTTAAAAGTTTTGGACAAACAGTAGAAAATATCTTTTATACATCTTTTTTAATAAAAGAAGGAACTGCTTATATTGTTGTTAAAAACAGAGTACCTTATATATCTATTAGTACTTCTAAAAAAGATTCTAAAAAACAAGAAAATAATTCTCAAACGGTATGTACATTAGAATATGAAATGTGGAAAGAAATGGTTGATGCTGTTAGTCCAAATTTTGTTCAAATAATTCCTCATAGGGAGGTTTCAAAAGACGCGCTTAAAGCAATCGAACAATATAATACTCAAAAATTTTATGATTCTCGATTTTTATCACAACCTCCTTCAACAAGAACTCCTTTCTTAAAACGTAGAAAACAAGAGTAATTAAATTTGTTTTTTTTTTTTATTTTTTTAAAAAATGAGGAAAAAAAAAGGAACTTATTTTTCTTGTTTGATTTCTTTTCATGGTTGATTTATCTTCAGATACGTTTGAAGTTAATAATATTTTCACATTTATTGATCAATCTCATACGTTTGAGTGTGCTAATGTATTTAAATATTTTATTCCTTCTAAATTAACTTATGAAGAAATACCATCAAATACTTCATTATTTCTAGTAGAATGGAAAGGTTTTTCTATTCTTCGTTCCACATGGGTTTTACGTGAAGAAATAGAAGGGAATTCTCGAATTGATCCAGATAATCTATTTAAGAAATTTATTGACCAAAATACAATTGATGGAATTTTATATCAACCTCGTTTAACTAAGATTATTCCTGCTCGTGATTTAGTTCCTGAAAAAATTTTATCGTCATGTTATGATGAAACAGCTACAGAAATGTTCACTGTTAAATGGAAATATTGTGGGGATGTTTTCTTATCTACTGAAGAGCCTAGTTTTTTTGATAACCCTCGTTATAAAATGCTCATAACTCAATACACAAATAAAGTTGAAAAAATTAAACCACTTTCTAGTCTTTCTAATCCACTAACATTAAATGTAGAAACTATAAATCTTGAGTATAAAGAAGAAGTAGAATTATGTAATAAAGTATTTGAAAAAATGCATAAAAACCATGGGTGTTGGATAAAAAAAACAGGAGAAGCTGATGGAGAATTATTTGTTACACATAAATTAAAAATATCAGTATTAATGTATATGAAACTATTAATGGATAATGGTATTAAAGGACCTCATTTAATTGTTACAGATGAAGCTGGAATAGATTTCTATAAAGAGAATATTGAAAAAATTATTCCAAATGCATATGTTACTTTTATTACTAAAGTACCTAAAGAAGAAGATATGAAAGAGGTTTTAGATAATGAATTATATCATACAGAAACTGATTGTTTAAAGTGTTCATTTGTAGTTACTACAACAATGGCATTTCAGTTTAGAGTTAATGTTGAATTTGATATTGTTATTATTGATACAGAACCATCATTATTTTTTAATTCTAAATATTATATTAAAGAACATACATTTTTATTATTATACAATGGAACATTTGATGAGGCTATAATTAAAAATCATTGTAGACGAAGAAAAATTAAAGAATTACAAAAATTTGAAAATAACATGTTTTCATATTTCATCAGATATGTTGACGTTTATTTAAATATTCATCAAATACAAAAACCAATATATAATGATTTAATTACAATAGCAAAAAGTTGTAACAATGAACAAACAGGAGTTATATTAAATGAAATAAAAAAATTACTTATTTATCCAAAAATGTTTGATACAAATTTAAAAACTCAAGGAACAAAAGTTGATTTTATTTTAAAATGTATTAAAATAATAGGAAATATTCCAGGAATTAAATTAGCAGTATTAGGAGATTATGATATGCCATTAAGATATATTTCTAAAATAACAAGGTCAAATTACATTGATTGGAAAATTGATATTAAAAAAACTAAAGCAATTTGTGAAATTATGAAATGTCCTTCTGAAAAAAGTGCTGAAAAAGTTAAAGATTTATTTGAACAAGAATTAAATAATGATAGTACTAGAAAAACACCTATTACTTTAAGTGGAAATTCAAGAGTTGTTTGTGTTCATAATTCATGTATTTCAACTGAAATTGATTTAAGTTGTATCGATATTGTAATTGATATGAGTAATGATTATACTCCATTATTTGAAACAAATATTCGTAATAAATATATGATGGCTACAGTAAAACAAATTATTGCATTTGATATGTCAATTAAAAATACTATTGATGAAATTACTTCTTCAATGAATGAATTAGATGATACTTTAACTCTTTCTCAAGAATTACAAGTTTATAGAAATTTAATAAAACATAATTCATATCGTTTTGGTTATAAAGGAAAATCAAAATCAATTAAATTTGGAAAATTAGGTCAAGAAATTTTAAAATATGGAACAGAATATGAACAATTACAACTCGTTATTGAAGTAATAAAAGATGATATAGAAATTATTAGTAATTTTGAAAAAAATGGGTTTATTTCTATTAATGATATTAATAAAGAACTTAACACTCAAAATCAACAAATATCAAAAGTTCAAAAATTACCAAAAACATTAAAATTACCTGTAACAGTTGATCATTCTTCTAAAAAAACTCCTACAATTAAAGTTTCTCCTCCTACTATATTTAATAAAGAAAGACTTTCTCAAAAATATCCAGACCAATTCAATTCTGAAAATAAATTAGATAAAATTATTTCTCTTGATGAAAATGTAAATCCTACTAAAACAAATTC